AGCTGATGGTTTCAGAAGGAGGCCCTGAGTTAGGAGGGTCATTGGGGGTTGCCTTCTGTGATGGAACTAGCCCCCTCTTTATTCTTTTTTTTTTTAAGATTTTATTTATTTATTTGACAGAGACACAGCGAGAGAGGGAACACAAGCAGGGGGTGTGGGAGAGGGAGAAGCAGGTTTCCCACTGAGCAGGGAGCCCAATGCAGAGCTCGATCCCAGGACCCTGGGATCATGACCTGAGCCGAAGGTAGCCGCTCAACCGACTGAGCCACCCAGGTGTCCCTAGCCCCTCTTCATTCTGAGTGGAGATGGTTTAGCTGCGGTGGCAGCCTCCAGAGCTCAGCAGAGAGTGCCCATGCCTAGGAAGTGTCTGGATGGTGTGGAGCCTGCAGGCCTCCTCCCGGGGCTCCCCCTCTGTGGCCACCGCCTGCATCCCTGGATGTGCAGTGCTCTGAGCAAAGGGCTTAGGCCCCCGAGGTGGGTTGCCAGGATTCATGTCCCTGCTCCACCTTTCCCAGCCAGGTCCCCCCGCCTCAAGCCAAGGGGAGTCCCCCTCCACCAGCCTCTGCTTTGCATCTGGAAGGGGCTGACAACAGAACCCCCGCCCCCCCGCCAGAAGTTCGTGACGAATCAGTGAGTTGCTGCATGTGGAGCACATAGCCCGGTGCCTGGCACAGCCCTGGCTGAACGGAGTCACGATTATCGTTATGATTTCGGCAACAAGTGACCGCTCTCTCCTCTCTCCTGCCCAACTAGCCAGAGACCCCAGAGGTGAAGGTCTTGCAGGACAGGCTGACGGCCACAAACCTGAAGATGAGTGACCTCCGCAACCAGATCCAGTCTGTGAAGCAGGAGCTCCGGATGGCCCAGAAGGTATTCCAGAGCCAGGGGTCAGGGGTTCTTGTCTGGCTGGGATTGGGAAGAGCATGGCCAGGACAATGGGTTCCATTCAGGAGCAGCAAGTGCTTGGCCCCGTGAGCATCATGCTCTGGGGCAGGCTCCGGATCCGGTAACTTCCTTCTGTCAGCCCTTCCTACAGACCATTGGTGAGTGGGGTTGCTGGCTGCCTGCGGGGCCCTTGTGGTGCCTTCCCCCCCCCCACCCCCCTGGACAGAGGAGGGCAGTGCCCTCTACTCAGGGAGAGTCCTGTAGACTGCTTGTGCTCCATGCACCCTAGTAGATCCTAGTAGATCTCTCCTAAATAAGCCACCTTGGACTTGGAAGCCTGCCAAGACTTGCCTCCTGCCCTTTGCTGTCTGTAATATTAGAAAATGAATAGGTTGTTTGTGTGTTAAAGGCCCTTTTCAAAGGAAAATACTCAGACTTGGGATGCAGGCCCAGCTGGTTCATTATTTATTTTTATTTACATAGTGAATTCTCTGGCATTTGTCTTCCCTGCTGGAACCACTCAGACTAGCCAAGATTTCCAAAACAGTGTTCTATTGTGGAAACAAGCACCAGAGACTCGGGACGCTAGATTGGTTCCCGTGGCAGGCTTCAGAGGGGCCCAGGGCACCAGCTGGTGTGTTTTGTTTCCACCTCAAAGCCTTGAGGTAGGGCCTGCACCCCACCCTTCAACAGCCACAATGTTGGACCCTGCTGGAATCAAACCTCTCCAGTTGATGTTTGGTGGTCCTCCCCATCCTTGCTGCACTCAGACATGGCCCCTAGTCAGTGGCTTTTCACAGAGGGCAAGGCCCTGGGGCAGTGTACTTCCTATAGCCATCCAGAAGGATCTCAGTTCTCAGTGGCAGGTGAACAAACTGAGGAAGCAGATTTTGGTCAACTTTGTGGTTCATTCATCCCAGAATATGTCAAGGGCGGAAGGCCCCATCTGAACACTGTTGGCAGTTCCTCACCTGCTGGAAGCAACACTAAGAAATGCGGGGGATGAGGGGATCACTACTTTCCCAGGGGCCGCTGCTCTGAGAGCACGGTCAGCTGGCCTTGGGGCAGGAGGAAGGGGTACAGGCGGGGGCCAGGCCCTCTGGGAGCCCCACGCACCCAGCACCGCCTCTAAGGATGCACTGGTTTTAGGGTTCTGGTGGGGGCCCTCTCTCCTGGCCTCGCTGAAGGCCCTCCCTTTTTCAGGTTTTGACCAGCGAGGTCGGGGAAGATGTGAATGTCCAGCAGCTCCTGTCCTCCCCGGGGACCTGGAGGGGCCGGGCTCAACAAATTCTCGTGTTGCAAAGCAAGGTGAGTGAACTTCTTCTGGCCCTGAACACAGAGCTTAAAATGTCCAGGTGAGGTGGCACCACCCCACATGAGAGACACAGAACCCTAAAAAGGCCCTCAGGCCTGGCAGAGCGTACTTGCAGGGCTGTTGTTTGATATTCTCCCCCACCGGCCTGATTTTAATTTGTTATTTGATGAACAAGCATTTATATAACACATACCACGTGCCAGGCACTGGTGCTTAACAAATGCCAAAACCTTTGATTTACTGTACTCTAGGCATATTTTTTCCCCTAGTTCATGTAAATTCGCGTGACTGTTGTACTTGCCGGCTTTTTCCAGTTTTGTCCAGATGCTTGTAGACTTTTGAAAGTTTGAATTACCCAGTAAAGATGTAGCCTTGTCCCCCTCTTTATGCTCTAAATATTTTGGAGCATCTCTAGAGGCTAAAAGCTGGGGCTCTGGAGCCAGGCTGCTTGGATTCAAATCTCAGCTCTCAACTCAGCAGCCATACGACCTTGGGCAAGTTCCTTCACCCCTCTGGGCCTTGGTTTTCTTCTCCCTATACCACGGATAACGATAGGAGCTACCCCACAGGGCTGATGGGAGGACTGAATGAGTCAATACGCGTCAAATGGCCAACACAGTGCCTGGCGTGGAGGGAACACTGTACAAAGGTTGCTCTGGTTATTTTCCTCTTTCACTTTCAAACCAAGAAGCACAAGAGTAGGTGTGTAACTTCCCCTACTGGCCAAGCACATGGCCTTCATCCCCAAGGACTTCAAGTTCACAGTTCCTGGGTAGCTTTTATCCTCGGGGCCTCCTGTGGCATCCTTGAAGCCAACACGAAGGAGGGGACGGTGTCCAAAACACTGTGATTAATGACCGATGTGTGGCCTTGGGGTTTAAGAGACCCCAGTTTGAGTCTGGCCTTAGTCGCTGGTCTGTAGTTTCAGTGACCTTAGGCAAGTCACTTCGTCCCTCTGCACCTGTCTCCTCACCTGCAAAACGGAGAGTGTTGTGGGTTAAGTGAAATAACATCGGTAAAGCACCCAGCACAGTGCCCGGCCCGTAATAAGCACTCGACACATTAGTTGTTATTGTCGTTAAGCTGCGTAAATAAACGATTGAAAGTTTCATACTGTGTTCTCTAATGCTTAAATGGAATTACCACGCAGTGCCACACGAGGGCGCTGATATGTGCTTTCAAAACCATGCGGCTACCCTTTACTGGGGATCCTAGTGAATTTGGCCCCGGCAACTGTGTTCCATCATTTATGTTGTATCAACATGGAAACCAGGGTTAGAAGGACCCTAGGAGTTACTCACTTCAAACCCAGTGCAATAAAGCCATCGTTCTGTGGGCTGACATCTAACTGCCACTTGCCGAGAGCCTATGAGTGCTGGACGGTGTGACAAGGGCTTCACCTGGGCCATCTTGGGGTTTCTCAAAGTTGCCTAATTCTAAAAAGCACCCATAGGACTTGTTTAAAATGCAGATTCCCAGTCCTTCCCCTGAAGCTCTGACTTGTTGGTCTGGAGTGGGCCCCAAGATTTGTCATTCCAAGAAGCATCTTGGGGGTTCCCAGACTCAGACAGGTTCAGGATACTGAATCCTTATATCATTATGCAGGGGGTACCCTTAGGCCCATTTCACAGATGAGGAACCTGAGATTCAGAGAGGATAAGTAAGCTGTGCATAGGCACACAGCTGGTGAGGCTTTGAGCTGCTCTCTGAGCTTTTAAACCCCACCCTCCCTCTGCAGCATCTCCTGCAAGCGGCCAGGAACCCATGGTCTCCCAAGAAGCGCACCCAGTCTTGGGTTAGAGAGTTCGTCCTTGTACTGAGCTCCTCCATCCTTTCCCTCCCAGGTTCCTGGAGTCACACCTCTGCTTCTTGGTCTCACATAGCCCCTAAGTGAGGGGGTGATTTTTCTCATTCTCAAGCTAAACCTCCCTCCTGTCCTCCCCTGTTTTGCCCAAGATGCCACCTCAGACTCCTCCCCCACCTCCGTGCCCCTCACATGGGGCTCCTGCCTCCATCTAGAACAGCAGTGGCCTCAGTCTAATGGGGCTTCCTGTCGCACCTCAGGGCAGCCCCTGAGTGGTTGAGTCTGTGAGGGCAGGCCCACTGCGGAATGACGAGTTTTACCACCCTCAGGTTCGCGAGCTTGAGAAGCAGCTGGGACAGACCCGAAGCCAGTCTGCAGGAATATCCCATGACAAGCCGCCTGTTGGTCCGGACCCAAGGAAGCTATCGGCACAGGAGAAAAACCTGCTGAGGATCCGCAGCCTGGAAAGGGAAAAACAGGAGGGCTGGGAGGTAATGCCTGTCCAGGGAAGGGGTCAGTAGAGCACGGGGGACCGGGAGATCGTGACCACCTCTGCAGGGCCGTGAGGACGAGCTCTGAGCCACCCCTTAGAGGCAGGAGACCCCTGGGGCTTGGGGTTACCTCAGTGCCTCTTCCTCACGTCCTGTCAGTCCAGCTGGAACTGCCTGACTGGGTCGTCAGCCCATTTCATGAGCTTCGGGTGGCCCCATCCTGGCTGTTCTGGAGATGCTGGACCTGAAATTGTCACTGTAGAAGGAGAGGAGGCGGCCAAGGCCCAGAGGGATGGCCCAGGGACAGGGTTAGGTGGGGCTCAGTAGAGGAGAGCTCCAGGCTGCTGAAAGGTGGGCGCTGTGTCTCACTGGCTGCATCTCACAGATCTGCACCCAGGGTGGTGGAAGCCAAACTCTACCAGGCTTATGTGACAAACAGAATTGATTGGCCCATGTAGATGAACGGTCTAGAGGTGACCTAGTGTCAGGCGCAGATGGACCCAGGGATCTGGGGACTTGGTCTCGGTGCCACTTTTTCCGGACCGGCTTCACCCTCTCCCGTGGGAATTCCTGCAAGTCCCAGCTTCTATCGTCTAGCCCAGCCCCCACAAACAAAGGGCTTCTCTTTCCCAGTAGTTCCAACAAAGTCCCAGAATGAAGTGTCACCCAGCTAGCTTAGGCCATGAGCCCGTCCCTGAGCCAGTCACTGCAGCTGAGGGTCCAGGCTGCTCTGACCAGCCAGGCTTCTCCCCAGGTCTGGGAGATGAGTCAGCCTCTCAGAAGTTGGTGTGAGAGTGGGGAGCGTGGCTTTCTCAAGGAAAATAGAGGAAGAAGCAGGACGGGGTGCTGGCAGGCTGAGAAGGCCCACTTCAGTGGCCCTGGCAGTGGGCTTCCTAACAATGAGGCCTTACCTTTTCATCAGGAGACTTCCATTTACGAGTGCCAATTCAGGACTAGACCCTGTGCTAGGAACATTGTGACCATCGCTGCATTGCACCCCCAGCATCCTAGATCATCCGGTGTGAGGAGGGAACAGAGGGACTGGAGCGGCGGGCCAGGCCAGGTCCTCCTGGACCTTGTATGCCAGCCAGGGCTTTGGGCTTTTATCTAGAAGGAAGTGGAGAACCACCAAAGGGTTTTAAGTCATAGAGGGACGTGGACCCCTGTGCATGTTGGAAAGGTCACATGGCCAGGTGGGGTCGGGGGGGCTAGGTCAGAGAAGGTTTGGGAGGCAGAGGTGATAATCCACTTGAGACATATCCGGGGACCAGAGCCAAGGCAGTAGGACTATAGCCAAAGGCCAGACACCTGCAACGTTTGAGGGTCGACTTTACAGGGCTCAGTGACAGGATGGAAAGGAGATAAGCAGAAGGACTGTGAAGGACTTCCAGTGAGTGTAGCAGTGGGGAGGGGATACGGGGAGGGGACTCAAGGGAGATGGGGAGCTGAGATTTGAAACTGTTGAGTTTGCGGTGCCCCTGGCTCAGACTTACACATTCACACCGAACAGAACATGTTGCAGTCATTGAACCGATTGTAAGCCACATTGTGGTGGAAGGAGGCTGTCCCCTGTGTGTCCTTCCTCTGCTGGACGCCTGCAGAGCTTAGAGTATGTAGCCAGCAGAGCTACAGGCAAATAATGGCTGTCTACAGCAAAGATCAGTGGTCTTCTGGATTCGTATCTACTATTTTTCATTCTATAATTCACTTCCACAGGAATCTAAAAACACTTTTCCAATGATAACTAACCCTCAAGACCAAAGCAGATTATGTCACCCGTTGCCCAAAACCCTCCTCGGGGTCTCGATCTTGGCTCCTGATGGTTTACCTAATCTGGACTCTGCCCCCTCCGACCTTGCCCCTGACCTGTCCCCTCTCTCACTGTGCTCTAGCCACACAGGTTCTACCCCAGGACCTTTGCTCATCCCCTCACCTCCTTTAGTCTCTTCTCAGATGTCACCTTTCAGAGAGGCCTTCCCTGACCATGCCATTGTCCCTCCCACCCCATTCCCTTGCCCAGTTTTCAATACGCAGAGCAACAGGTAAACAGTGGTAACAGGTAAACCATTGAACATCTATCTCCCCAGCTAGGATGTTAGCTCCTTGGGGACAAACACTCTGTTTTGTTCTCTGCTCTATCCCCAGCACCTGTAACAGTTCTAAGCACACAGTAGGCCCTCAGGAAATGTTTGAGAAGGAAGGGAGGGAGGGAGGAAGGAAGGAAGGAAGGAA